TTGGCCCAACTAGATAATCCATGGAGTATTAGCCCACTATACAAGTATGGATGATTTACACAATCAACCCACATATTTAATTAGTCTTCTTTTGATCACTCAATTAATGCTAGATTAATTCTTGATCAATACTAATTAAATAATCTCATTATTCTTATTATTAATATACTAGAACTTATAATATATTAATAACCATAAGTGTCTTATTTCTCTCATTTAGTCTATCCAAGTGCATGATGGTATGCAACCCAAATGGACCATGCCGGGTCGGGTCAATTTTTACCAATTATAGTTATGGACTTAGACATTAATCCAACACACCTGTCTAATAGTCTCCTGAGAATACAAGTTATTTAAAAGAGTTGATCAGCAATTATGATGGTGAGTTCATAAGATTTTGGTGATGTGAGTAAGTTGTAAAGCGTTGTGGAAAATGTATATCCAAAAGTGATGTAAGTTGTAAGTTCTGTTTTGAAGGTTTGCTTGTTCCTCTAGAAAATCATATATTTCCTACTTGAATGAAACTTAAGTAAAATGACACTACAAGCCTTTCTATGGGTACTAAGTGGGTACAAGTTATATATACTTAGACTAAACAAACAATCGATTGTGCGCATCTTCCCCAAGCTCACAACCCAACGGGGAACAGAAAGTAAGGCGGGTAGAACACATTCCATTGGTTGTTAGATCGTTGTCATATATAACCCTAGTGATTCACTTGTTACTCATGGAGTTATTTGTAATGGTTCCTTTATATCTGATGAAAAGTTCTTTAAAATAACCTATATTTCTTATTGTAAAATAATGACTACGGTGACTACTTTTATAATAGCTTTGTTATACTGCTATATATAATCTGATACCGGGTAGAAATTTAATTGAGTGAATCTGCCCTACGCCCACAATCCAATGGGGACAGGAAGTAAGGCGGAAAACACACCGTTAACTATCTATTGGGTATTAGTTTTATATATTAGCATGGTGTATAAACTTAGGTGTTATAGAGTTACTCACCTAAAGTCTCTAAAACTGTACTGGCTTAATAAAATGGATTAAGCCCTTATCCTGGAAATCTCTAGTTTTGTATACCAAAAGTACTGACTTTGAAAAGTAAGTTTTGTACTAGAAAAGTTGTGTATTGACTCTGTGTCCTATAACCTGATCCATACCTGGTACCCTTATGATGACTTAATGGATACTAAGCATATATATATATAGATTCGGGTAAATAATAGATTGAGTGACCTCATTCCAAGCCGAGATCCAACAGGAATAGGAAATGAAGCGAAGAGCACACATCCTATTAGCTGTCGAAATCTATTAGTATATATGTATCCTATAGTGTATACATTAACGAATCATAAAGCTAACATTATGATCCTAACCTTTAATTGTGGCCTTCTACCAAGGCATCTTCTGATCTGTGTTAAACCTGACTTTTCCTTTGTCAAATGTAGAAGTATATTCTCCCTAGTTTATAACTATCTTGACTAGAAAATAGATCAACTTTCAAGTGGTACTGACACTTTATGAAAGTAATGGGAAAATAAGTACACAGATGTCGTTTATAATGACATGTAGATGTACTAATAACCTAAAAACATATTTGTTTTATTACGATCATAATGTGAAAGCTAGAACCCCTACAAAACGCTCTCAATGTAAAGAGATTCGGTGAACCAAATGTGACCCCATCAATTTCTTGCAAGCCGTATAATTCACATTAACGTTATATGATCATGTATACCCAATATAACTATCACTAATGCGTTAGTGATTCATTGATATAATTAGATCCTGTTTGTGTGTTCTCATGTTGTAGCAACTTAACCTATTTGTTATGTTCTGTTCTGGTATTGTTTGATTCTCTTCACTGCTTGTTCTATTATGGTACTATTTGATTCTCTTCACTGTTTGTTCTGTTATGGTACTATTTGTTCTGTTATGGTACTGATTCTTTGTGTTCTTTATTGTACTAGAAGTATTGAATAGCCTTCTTCTAAATTATACCTATAATAGTTTACTAATGTTCCTGGACTATTACTGAAAAAGACTCATTAATCTACTAAGTTATGCTTATACTTTAAAAACAGAGATTTGTATAACTATAAAGTAACATAACTTTAAATGAGTTTTGAAATGTTTTGACAACTTATAAATAACATAAGTAAAATTTTGAAAGATCTTTAACAACAAACATTTACACAATTTTCGTTGTGTTCAACCTGTATTCCCCCCTTAAAATAGTTAAAATAGTTAAAAGATTCATTACGGGGTATGAACTCACCTGATGTGGGTGATTCAAACGGGTACGCGCGTACGGATGAGAAGTTCCACGAATGAAGTCCCGAGACACAATAAGTCCTAAATGATATATAAGGACACATACTGACATGAATATAGTGTTTATAAACAACTATATGAAAGGAAACACCTTTCGGGGCTAGGAAAGACCTTGACCAAGTGTTGGAATAACATGTGATTCAACAAAGGAAGGTAAAATGGCACTCATATGATTTTACTACCATGGTTATACTTCCCAAGGGAGTTTACAGCCGTAAACTAATGGTTACTCATGTGTAAGTTCAAGTTTGAAGGCTAGGGGATGATTTAGGGACCTTAGCTCTATCCTAGGATGAGGAAGACCACTTTCTTTAGAGTTTTTGAGGTGTTCACAGCCCTAATGAGTTTACAACCGTAAACTCGTGGCCAATTATGTTTATGAGGGTTGTTGAGGGTCCTAAAGGTCATAATGAAGCATCCTAAGTTCAAGTCCAAGCCTTAGGAAGTGTTTGTGGCATCAAAACACCCCTAACTTGAGTTTTCAGCCCTTGGACCATTTTGGCTTGTGTTTGTGGCCGTAATCACCTATGGGTGATGGTATTTTGATTGTTTTGAGTCCTTAACACATCAAGGTAAAGTGTTAGGCTAGTCTCTTGGCTTAAGGAAGGCATTTGGGGCATTTTGGAACCATGAAAGGGAGTTCACGACCCAAGAACATCCTTGGCTGTGAAATCTCTTCTAACCCTTGTTTCTTAGTGTTTTTAAGGCCTAGACATGTCAAGGGTTGTTCTATGTTTGGTTCCAAGGTCTATAGGGACATAAGGCACACTTTTGGCCTCAAATTTAGTGTTCACGGTCCAAGAGGATCTTGGGCCGTGAACACCCTTTCCTTGGGTTTTATGGATGATTTCCATGTTATCTAGTCATGTAGTACCCTTTAATACACTCTAGGGTTGAAGTACTTACAATTGGGGGTGAACGGATGAAGATCCTTGGGAGAGAAATCGGGTTTTCTCTAGTTGGAAATGAAAGAAATGAACCAAAATGGCTAAGTCTTACTTATATAGTCTTTAGGGTTTTCGGTCCCAATAACATTTTTGGACCGTAAATTCCAAACTCTTGAAGTTTTGGGCACTTATTGCTACATAATAAACCCTAGGGTATCCTTTCTCCTGATATCTTTTGAAGCATTAACTTTAAAACACTCAAACTTATCCCAAAAGTTTGAAAGTTAGCAGAACAGATTTGACTTCAATTGTAGTGGATGGTTTTACCGAATGGAAATTTTTGGGTTTTCACATGTAACCTTTTCGATTATATTTATGTTGGTTATTTGTACTTTGAGAACTATTATACTAGTTGTTGTGATACTATGCATGAAGTCCTCCACCTTCGGACGTTTCCGCCATCCTTGGTTTGAGGGTGTGACATAGAGGAATGCTAAATATCTCATAACTGGCCTCTCGGCCTCTCACAACCCACCCATTCACCAATGACCACTTGACCCTCCATTGGTGCTAGCTAACTATTGCATGAATATAATCACATACTGCACGAGTTAGGCAAACTTAGGATAAAAGATTTAATCCCACAACGGTTGGACTCAAACAAGAGCTGCGCAACTGGAGCAATCCCTTACCCTAAGACCATTTAACCCATGTAGCATGTGATTGGGAGTATACACCAAATAGTTAACTCACACACGAAAGAGTCATACAACAGTCAATGAGGTACTCTACTTAAAGTAAAGCATCAAAGATCAGGCAATTCTATCATACAATTTGTTGAGGATCCCTATCTTATCACTAGCATGTTGTTATAACATATCACGTAATCAAATAACTGCATGGTAGTTTGGGGTCTACTTCCAGCTGATCGTACACTTTACATCCTCCTTTACATATTTTGAAAACCATTAAAAAATCATTTTGAAAATCTTTCCTTGATTTGAGACTGGATTCACACTAGTGTTCCTCGAATTCCTCAAACCAAGGCCCTAATACTAGCTTCTAACATTAATAAAATTCAAGACAATTTAGAACTTTTTAAAGCATTTAAATCTGTTAAGTTATTACAGTTTCTTTTCAAAATAGTTTAAACATCAGAGTATTCCCATAATCAAATCATAAAATCATGAAATATGAGGAGTTGTACGATCATGCCTTCACCTTCCCGCGATCATCAGAAGTACCTGAAACAATAATCAATAAATGCAAGTTCGAGGCTTAGTGAGTTACCCCCAAAATACCAACATATACAAACCAAACAATATAATAACAACAATATGCATAATGAGCTTTCAGCATGACTGGACTGCCTCACAAGGCCTACAACCTATCTAGACCGCTCCCAAGTCTTGGCATGACTGGACAGCCACTACAAAAAAAAGACCGTTTTACGACATGCAAACCACGACACTCATTAATTTATGTTACGCAAAAGAGAGAGACATTAAAAATGTGTCATCTCTTCAAAAAATTTAAGGATTTAGGTCGCGCATTATTTTGTGCCTTTAAATTAGTGTCTTATGTAAAAAATTAAAAACATGGAGGGCACTTGTGCGTCCTCTGTGAATGTCGTTTTATATTTTTGCTTTAAGTAACGCGCGTCTCCTTAGAGGGAAAATGAAATCCCGAAATTTTTTAAACCCCCGCCTTCAAAATCGATCCTCACACTAAATGGTTCGATGATTGCATCTCCTTTCAATTATAGCGCCGATGGACAACTACTACCATCAATCAAAGCTAGCAGTTGAACAACCCCTAATCGACACCTCCACCTTCTCGTCTCTCATTCTCCACGAGGTTTCTTTTACGCTGGGAAATTTTGTAACTTATATTTTCCTTTACCTTTTTCTGTAATTATCTCACATGACAAAAGCCCCCACCTGTTTCCAAACCCTTCTTCTCTCTCCAACGACGTACATCACCGGCGACACACCTACGACTAGTCACCGGAGCTTTATTTGCGTCGCAAAATATATCTACCGTTCTGGAAGTTCGAACCGAAGGCGAACCAGCTGTTGCGGAGGAATTAGGGCAAAATGTTGATCAGATCATCGTGAAGGTTGATGAGGTACGCTTTTTGTTGCTGAATCTTCCGATTGTATAATTTTCCGACTTTATATACACTCCATCTTCTTAGGTTACATAAGAATGACGTATGGTTGAATCAAATAAAGAAAATTTGTAAAAAGTTAGGTCCATAGTTACATAATTCGCTAGAAGTGCCACGAATCTCGTACCAATTCGCTCGTACCAAAACGCGTTATGTTTGCGTTCCGGGTACGCTCGGGATTGCGTTTCCAATTCTGAAATTGACGTTCCTAAAATGCAATTGAATCGTACCTATTTCTGTTTGGATCATGAATTTGATGATTCTGATACGTGTTCTGGAGTCAATTGGGAACATCGTACCTGAAGTTATAATTTATAAAGTCAAGGTTCTACTAAAGGTAAGAAAATTAATTGACGACCCTCTATAATCGAATGAACATTACGCACTATTCTGACCTATATTAGGCTTCCCTCCATTCTCATTCTCCATTCATTATAATAATCAGAAGTACATAATCATAATCTCAATTCTCAATTTTAATTAGATACTCATTGTTTTTAGAAAGAGTAGAGGTGTTGCAATCACAACAATACGATGATGAAGATGATTATCATGTTGACCTTGGCGATGAAGAAGATAATCAGAACCAGAATGTGGTTGAGTCAACTCAGCAATCAAGTTGGACTAATTAAAATATCCAAAACTTCAGGAACAGTAAGTTCACAAACTCATTAATTTTTTTGTTTTCTTTATAGCATCATTATAATTTATATGACCGTTGTTTTGATTTTTTAGGTGGGTGTATTTGGGTCAACTGCATATGTTATTCAAACATCTTGGATTCAAAGTGGGACAATTTACAATGATGCTGACATATATCTTCTTGATGACCCTTTCAGTGGTTTAGAAGCACATACAAAAGCAACTCTCTTTAATGTAAGTTTTCAACTTGTTGAAATTAAATGGATGTTATTAGTTTGTCCTTTTTAGCTACTCCCTTAATCTTTGGATATTAAAGAAGAAAACTGTCATTCTTGTCACTCATTAAGTGGAGGTTATCTCATTTGTTGACAATATTCATGCAATCATAATAAAAAATCTATAAATTTAGTTACACATGATGGCTTTATATATTGGTTTTAAGTCTATTTTACCATTTGCATTTAATTCTTTTTTCCCTTTTAAGGTTATGAAAGACGGTCAAGTTACACAATCAGAAAAGTATGAGAAGCTCTTGATGGCAGGAACTGCATTTGAAGAGCTTGTGAATGCTCATAAAGATGTCATTACAGGTTTAGAGCCTTCTCTATCTGAAAATAAAAATGAACTACTAAAACCAGTAACATTAAGAGGATTAATCATTAAGAACACTTCTAGGCAACAACAAGTTATTGGCTAGCTGGAGTGCTGGGCAAAGACAACTCTTCTGTCTTGGAGGAGTTTTACTCAGAAGAAACAAAATCCTAGTGCTGGATGAAGCCACTGTATCCATCGATTCAGCCACAGATGCCACCCTACAGAAAATCATTTTAATATTATTGATTCAAGTGTAGTATTTATAATTTTTTGGTCCAAGTATTAAATGTAATCTTTCATTTATGTTTTTTTAAGGAATATGGGTATGGAGAACACCAGTTGAAATGGACATTGATGGATTTAAAACCTCAGTCTTTTATCTGGATACGGAAGGATTTGAAAGTATAGGGAAATCAAACGTTTTATGATGGCAGATGTTTGTCTTTTTCTTATTGTTTATAAATTATAAATTATAAATTATAAATTTATAATCAATGGATTTTCTTTTTTGATCCACATTTCTTAAGGATATTTGCTCTGGCAACGGTTTTAAGTTCAATGCTTATCTACAATTTTCCTGAAACAGTTGGTTTCATCTTTAAAAACTGCTTTATTTATTTATTTATTAGTTTTTTAAAACAAGAAATGTAAGTCTGCTGCTATTTTTTTTAAAATCTTTTCAGATACGTGAAGCTGATATATCCCGGTTGTCATTTGCAGTTGAGCTTGCTGAAGAGTTCTATGGAAGGTTGGTTTTCATTCAAATTTGAAAATGATGATCTTATTGTTAAAAACTTAAAATCATATATCATGACCAAAACTGATTTTTTTTTTTTTTATTTTTTTTTTTTTTGTGAATCTACAGAGTCAAGGTAACTTTTGAACAGCTTGGATATTTTGTTGTTTATCTTACTAAAGATAGTAAGAGTGGTCAAATTTTTGGTTTGACTTTTTGATATAATTACATGGGCAAGATGTCGGCACATTTTGTCTCTGGTTTTAAATAAATTACAGCTTTGGTCCCTGAGTAGTGAGCGTAGTTGAAGTTTCATAAAGATTTTGGTCCATGTGACCTGTAGGTAAACAGCGTAGCTGATAGATTTTTCAAAATGGCCGTTTTACCCTTGGACCAAAACTGGAAAAAAAACAATATTTCACAGGGGCAAAATTTGTAAATTTCTCTTATTTGGTTCCTATGGTGTGTGTGTCTATATATATATATATATATATATATATATATATATATATATATATATATATATATTCAGTTTTCGTCATAATGAAAAGTTCAACAGCCAGGCGGTTAACATAGATGACAAGTGGACCAAAATCATAAGGAAACTTGAAAATAAGTTTTTGGAACAAAAATTGCAAAAATCACGTTATGTTAACTGTAATACCCATTTGGGAATTGGTATGCAATTATTTCTGCATAATTCATGTTACAATTTGATATTTTTATTGGGATTTTCTCTTATACAGTATTTTCTTTTTTTATATATATAAACTCAGAACAAAGTCGGCATGATGACTTGGAGTCTCTAGGCTACTGCTAAAATAACAGTCATATTTAAATTGTTTTAGTGGAGTATGAAAATCATTTTCAATTTGTTTAACATGTTTTATGCAAGAATCATAATGTGGAGTTTGCCACTTACTTCAAGTATTGTAGATCTTTAACATTTGATCAAAAACCTAATTATGGATTCTTGAAGCGCCTTTTTCGTGACTTACTTACGCGAGAAGGTATATCCTTTATTCATATAATACAATATTATAGAAATTTAACCACATTTATGCTGTAAAATTTGTATAACATTGTATCTGATGTTTAACTCTTGATAGTATTTTTTGATTAATATGATGTTCTACTTATTTCAGGATTTGATTTTTATTACGTATTTGATTGGGTAATCATAAAGCATCATCAGTCAGAAAAGAATAAACCACATATGGTTAACCGCAGTTGAGTCGCCTCTTCAAACTTTGAAGCTATCTTGGATCGATGGTTGGGCATTTATTGCATTTGTAACCTTAGGGTGTCTGCAATAGAAATGTTTGAGGTATATTCACTGATGTTTTTTTCATAAAAAATTCAGACCATTGTTGTGGTTGTCAATCTCAAACTCGTTCTTATTTAATAATACTGATCCCTATTGCAAGAGAATTTTAATGTTTACGTACTCCATGATCATGGCTACCAAGTACTCCATGATCATGGCTACCAATTTGGAGTCTTGTTACCATATGTGTCAACTTACACATCCTCTTTTAAAAGCTTCTGGAGCTGGAAACATTGTTTTGATTTCATCTGTTGCAGGTCTTGTTCACGTTTCTGTTGGGTCTGTTTATAGTGTCACCAAAGGTATGGTTTGTTTGGCTCCATATTTTATATCTGATTTCATCTAGAAACAGGTAGCTGTTGTATCTATTCAGACTAGGCTTAGAGCAATGGTTCCAAGAGATGAGTTCAGAAAAAAGAAGAAATAAGGCTGCAACTATAGTTCAGGTACTATGGATGAATTACGTTTGTAAAGTATTTAAGAAAATGATTAGAAACAAGGGTGAATTTGTACAGATTAGTTAGCTACTTGCAGGTTGATCTTAAATAAGCAAAGGGGGAATGGATTGTATTTTTTGTATCTAATTTGTTTGTAAAATTTTGTTACAACTTCTATTGATTTGTTTTATCTTTCCATGGAACGATTATTTGTATGACATTAAATTTATGCAATGGATTCTATTTTTTGTATATGATATATTATTTTCTATTATGAAACATTAAATACAAATTTAATTTGAAAATAAGTAAATCTATAAATAATATATTTTATTAACATTTAAAATTATGATACACAAATATGTATGTCGTCTACATTTATGACATGGCCTTTCTTGACAGTGACTTTCTTGATACGCATTGCGTGTCATTAACACGCGCGCCGTACGACATGCGAATGCGTGTCGTCTTCCTTTATCACAGGGCCTTCCTTGATACGCATTACGTGTCATAAATGCGCGTCGTCTCTCTTTATGACAGGGCCTTCCTTGACGCGCATTTGCGCGTCGTCTGAGCCTTTTACGACGCGCAATGAGCGTCGTAAAAGGCTGTTTTTCTAGTAGTGAGCCTCGCAGAGCCTACATCCTATCCGGACCGCTCGTCGGGCCTTCGGCATGACTGTACCGCCTCGCAGGGCCTACAACCTATCTAGACCACCCCGGGAATGTTGGCCTTCAGCACAAAGCAGGATCGTCTCAACCCAACCACCAGAAAAACAATCATGTGCACATAACTATCATATCATATGCTACCATATATAATAGTTAAACCAATCTAACAGATCACTAATCATAACAACTTCCTATTACCAGCATATAGACCTAACCAGTAACTAACATAGCATCGTCCTATATACCAGGATACCGACCTAACTAGGTCACTAAGCATATCAGCATCCTAACTATTAGGATGTAAATCAATAAGCATACCATCCAATAAACCCAAATACAGATCTGATAAGGGCTGACATTGGTGCCTTAGACACCAGCTGAAGTCCCGCAAAGAAAACAACAGCTGCTAGTTGATAGATTCCCGAACTGTCAACATCAAAATTACACCCAAATAGAAATTAGGTTCCAATACATAACCACAAGTCCATGCTTGGGGTAAAAGGATACTTTGCCTCCAACCTAGCTTGTTTCAACCCTAAGGCCCAACTCACACGCCAAAGGCCCAAAAGTCAAGTAATGGGTCAAAGCCTAACATATGGCCCAAGTTTCCAAATTTGGGCCAGACCCCTACATGGTCTTACCTTAAGGCCCATCTGTCAATTCTAGTCCACTCTTGGTATTCCAATTGCTCAATATCGCATAATTTTCAAGGCCTAATTTTCCAAATTGTGTTTGGGCCTTTCTAATGGCCCTTTCCTCAAGAACAATAAATTTAATTAGTCCAAAACCTTGTTTCCAAATGGCCCACGAAGGCCGACATCAACCTAGTCCAAGAAATGCCCCAATCCTGAAGCCCAAAATACAAAGTCCAACCTATCTGAGTATGTAGGGCGTACTCAGCAGTACGATGTGCGTACTCGCTTAATGGCTTTTACGTTGTGCGTACTTCCATCTTAATCCCATTTTGCCATTAAGCACTTAATGCTTTAAGCCATAAGTCCAATCCAGATATCTAAGTCCCAAACGATGTCAAAACCCATAAAGTCAATAACTTGGTGACTATTCATGCCCCAAAAAGACCAAATCTCAAAGTATAACATTCTACTTCCATGGAAATGACTCAAACTTCAACATGGATGGTCTTAAACTCTAAAGCTACCAACCTTATGGACCTTGAAACTCAGAAACACTAAGAGGGGCAACTCAAAGCTCCTGAAATGAAATCAAGACCACTAGATCTCATCTTTGGGACCAAAATGAACTAAAACTCACAAGTAAGAGATCTATGATATCAATGATCAAGTTCAAAGCTTTATACCTTCATCAAGCTGAAAATGAGTCCAAAAAGCCAGATCCATAACCTTTTCCTTGATCCTCATCTTTGCATCAAGCTCCAACTTCTTGAAAATGGACCTAACACTCCAAAAATTAACTTCTTGAAAATGGAACTAACGCCCCGCGTACTACCTTCTTCACTAGTACGCCCTGCGTACTCTTTGTGTATGCCCCGCATACTCGACTAAGCTTGAAAACCACGAAACTTCTGAAGGCCATAACTTATTCTTCATAAACCCAATTCCGACGATCCTTATATCTACAGAAAGGTAACGAGAAACCCTACCCTTCTATCAACTCATACCTTTATTAAAACCTTCTCAACAAAAATCCATTTTTCACAAAAAACCAACTAACACATTACCGAAACACCCCTAGGCTCCAAAACTTGAATTGAACACTCGGATCACTTCCAATACATCGCCAACACCCAAATGGGCCTAGATCCTACTTTTTCAAAAGTTCCAATCATTATGATGACCGATATTCGAGCCATAGACCCAAGCTAGGAGTCGATTAAGAACATGGTGTTACAATGACCCTGCTTGCCAAATTTGTGGCACCCACTCCTGATCGGTAAATCCCTGAATGAGCCTTTCAACACTTCCCACAAGTGTGGACTGGCCGTCCCCTAGATCTAGTATCAGCAGTCTTAGACATATTCTGCATCGGTTGTGACTGTGTCAGGGCCTGCCGCTACTCCCTCGACTACATCTCAATCTCCAACTCACGCTGCCTAGCGGCCTCCTATAGCTCCAACAATGTATCACATCGTTGGATGGAAGAAAACTGACATTTGTAAGTCTTGAGCATGCTCGGATAACGTGGCATCTGAGCCTGTTCAGAAGCAAAATTCGGTCAAAACATCGCCCCTCTTTGTAAACATGCGGGTGATCTCCGTCACCGACTCTTTAACCTACCTCAGATCAAAGAACTCATGTAATTACCTCTCACACTCGACCCGTGGGATATAGAGAGTATAGAACGTATATCTGAACTACTCCCAAGTAACAGCATCTCTCTGGTCATCCATATACGACCCAGTCGTCAACATCCACCAATCCTTTGCCCCAGACCTCAGCAAGTTCAGGTTACATCTGAACTTTTGGTAAATAGGACATGAGCATGTGAAGAAACATCCCTCCATGTCAAACACCTACCTAATGGCTATGATCAGATCCTGAGTCCCATCGAAGGTCGGGGGCTCCGTGTTATCGAAGTCCCGATACTAGAAGCCCCGAATGGATCCTCACCTTTTTGTTGTTACATCTATTGTAGATGTTGCGATAGCCGTCTCATCTAGGGCTACATATATATCATCAAAATACCCTATCATGGTGGTCTTAATAGACCCAAACATCTCCAGAATCTATCCCCAGACAATCTCGACCACCTCGTCGCTTATGATCTCCCTAACATGATCCTCTGTCAACAATGGCCCATCCTAGCCGATAATCTCGAGTGATGCCAGGGCACCCTGATCGACCTGCTCTGATCCCAATCCAGATCCAGTTACAAAACACCTTGTAACCACCATACGGAAAATACACCTGGAAGATATCAGATAATCCGCATAAATAACAGGGAACCAACTCCTAACTAAATCCTAGCAGTTGTGACTTCCTTGCTACACGTATGGGTCCTGTGCTTTCAATAGTATGGGCCCATACCACCTTCCACACCTACGCATATTTGTCTCAAGTATCACCACAACACCCTAATAGTATACATATACATGGTCTTCGCTCAATCCTCACCCCTAAAAGAAGGCTAACTATTTCATAACTAACCTACCGGCCTCACACAACCCACCCATGAAACTTCCACCTACCCTACAACACTCGTGTATGCTAGGCATACATAACGTTGGACCCCCTAGACATATGAATACTTAGTACTACTCTAAGCCCACAACTAAACAAGGAATAGGAAATAAAGTTGAACCAAACATTCTCAGGCTATAAGTTCTTAATTATGTACAACCGTGATGCATTCATTAAGCAACTATAGTCATGATGCCAATCTTATTTAATGAAAACCCTAGGCTATATGGAATCATACAATCAAGCAATTCTATCATGCAATTCCTGAAGATCCCTAGCCTAGTACTAGCATGTTGTTCTAACAAATCACATAATCAAATAACTGCATGATATTTTGGGGTCTAATTACTGGCTACGGTTGATCTTACATTCTGCATCCTCCTTTACTTATTTTGAAAACCATTAAAAAATCATTTTGAAAACAAACTATGGGTCCAGTCAACCATCAGGTTGGAATACCCCATGCTCACAATCATCCGATTGGAATGCTAACATACTAAGGGTCTAATCATCCTCGGGATGGAATACCCCAGGCGCACAACCAACAGGTTGGAATGCCCACATACTACGAGTCAAATCATCATCGGAATGGAATACTCATGGCCAACAACCATCATGTTGGAATGCCTAGGTCTATTGGCTTTCGCACCAAGTAGACAAGCCTCGTCCACCACTCAAACATGTGCATATATATATATATATATATATATATATATATATATATATATATATATATATATATATATATATATCAGCTAATCACATAACAGTCTATAGAAATACAAATTGATCTAACAGATCATAGCAACATATAACATCCTATCTACTAGGATACTGATCTAATGGATCATACCATTATATAACA